TCATGTGTTGCAAAGTCCAAATAGTCTCATTTCTGTAACCGATTGAAACGGATTACAACGGTGCCACATAGTACCTGGACTAAACAAAACAAACCGTTTTGTCTCTTAAGTAGATTAAGGCCTGAGTCTAAGTCATTTATGGTTTTTATGTTGACATATTAAATTCTGCAAGCAGAATACTACAATGCTGATCGTACTACGTGAAAATTAACTCTGCAAGGCATCAACACGACACCGAAAGAACTCAAAACAGAGTGGGATTGTGAGCCATAAACAGCTGTTTCGTCCTTTTTTGGGCTCGTCAGTATGGCGCAACAACCAGCCCCAAAAAGGGCGAAACAGCTGTCTATGGCTACAATCCCGCTCTGTTTTGAGTTCTTTCGGTGTCGTGTTGATGTCTTGCAGAGATAATTTTCACGTGGTACGATCAGCATTGCAGTATTCTGCTTGCAGGATTTAACATGTCTACATTATTATTTTTGCTGATCAGGTCTTTATAGATCCTACTTCTTCGGCATATTCGTTTGCGGTCCTTTGCAGTCCTTTGTGGTTAATGTTTGTACTTTATGGTTTTTATGTACACTTTTCAAAAACTATGGTTAAAGACATCCACGAGGAGAGGTATATGGTAAAGTAAACTAAACAAAAAAAAATTGAAAAAAAGAAATCTTAATAATTTGGTCACGTGATCGACCACGCCCTCCATTGTTCGAAACTTGTAACCAACCATTTCCATCACTTGCCAAACGAGTAGCTCCAGTTTCTCTGTATCAAAACATTGTCCCTTCAAAGTGTCCACGAAATCAGCTCGGAATGGTTCGAAGAATTACAGGTGAAATTGGTGTTCATTGACTAGTGCCAGTCCTCCTCTAACTAAAATTATCTACTTTTTTTGGCCTTGTATAAATTGACCTGAGACGAAGCGTCCTCCTTCCCTTTTTCTTTAGAAGGCGCGAGAAAAAGGTTTCTTTTTATAATCAGTCCTTTTTTGTAATCAGTCCCATAAAATCCATTCCATTCCTCAAGTTTTCACGAGATCATTTGCGGTCAACTTTGGGGATCACTTGCGGTCGAGGATCATTTGCGGTCCATTTTGGGGATCATTTGTGGTCTCGGTATCATTTGCGGTACTGTACAGCACTCAAGATTGAAGTGTGTTGATGGCACGACCGATCTTGAAGTAATACCACGTAACTCGAGTATAGCCTGTTGGATTTTGCTGTTAGAGATATTTAACAATTATTCCTCGAGCCCTAATGGGCTATTGACTCAGAGGCCATCAGGGCGAGAGGAATAACTGTTTTAGTAAAATCCAACTAGTTGGTCAAATATATCGAGACAAAACAACTTTAGCTAGCAAAACGCGATTCAGCTGCTTTTCAAAGCCGGCGCTTCTCGCTACTAGTGGGCTATAACATATAGCTTAGTAGTAGCTCAACCAATCAGAACGCAGCATTGATAATAGACCACTAGTTGGATTTTACTAAACATAATTATTGCGTGGAACACAGTATGAGGCTTAATCCAAATAAATGTAAGGAGATGGTCGTGAACTTTATGGGAAATCCGAACACTATTATGAGACCCCTGTATATTAAAAAAAATAGTAGAAAGAATTTCGTCATACAAATTTACTTGGAGTAATCATTAAGGAGAACTTGAAATGGAACTGCCATGTTGACTATATTACAGCTAAGGTATCAAAGAAACTTTACGTTCTCAGACTATTAAAGAGAGCTGGCGTGCAAGAACAAGACTTGGTGAAGGTCTTTAGAGGTAGAGTTAGACAGATAGAATAGAGTCCGCGCAAAAAAAGGGCACTTAAAATCATATATCCTAACAGTTCGTACAGTCAAGCACTGTCGCCAGCCAACGAGACTACACTTTCCAAGAGACGCGAGCACATATGCCATAAATTTATGGTTGAGATGACAGACACCCGTGACCACCCATTATCGTGCTTCGTGTCCACCACTGTACAAGTGCTAATCCATTTAACGTTAGACCTGGTTCTTCTCGACCATTCAATACGTTCATGAGAACTAAAAGATCAGAGAATTTTTTTACTTTTTAATATTCGTCATTTAAGAACCCGTCGTGATTATCATTTTAAGTGTTTTTTTAAGTGGTATAATTAACAGGTAGCTTTAATGTAGCATGATTGTTATTTATAACCTTCGGCCTCATGGGCTATTGACTCAGAGCCCATTTGGGCTCGAGGAATAATTGTTAATAAGTTGACGAAAATGGCGCATATGGCGAAAAAAGGCAATCTGGCAACAATTGCCATTTGACAAGTATTAAAAAGGGATGGATAAAAGGGCCCGTTGGAGAGTGGTGATTTTGAAGAAAATGGTGAATGTGGTAAAAATGGCTAAAACCTGGGTGTAGTAACGAAAACGTCTTACTGAACAACAGGTGTTTACAGGAACGCACTCAAAAACCACGAGGTACAAGTAAAAGTACTACTCAAAACGAGGCTAGGCAGAAAGACTCCATAAAACAGTCACGAAATGTTGAAAACATTGTCAGCATCCACCCATTATCGAAGTGTTTATCAGCTTAAATGTCAGTCACTATCTTCAACTTCTTGTGCAGCAATGTTTTTGAACAGCTTTATGGCAATCTATTTGGGTCCTCCTATTTGGCCTCACTATTGGTACGAACGCTTCTGCTTCAGGGTTAAGCTTGTAATTATAATTCTCTCCTCTCCACATTACACACAAGTTGCAGGGGACGCTCGACATTATATTGATTTCCTTGCCTCAGCTTCAATCCGCGAACCACGCCATCCTTGCCAATAATCGTGTCCACCACGCGTCCAAGCTTTCACAGTGCTTTATCCTTCGATTCAATTTCAAACAACATCACTGCTCCTGTGTCTGGAATTTTTGGATTGTCTGCGGTGGAATTGGACTCTCTCTTCCCAAGGGCGTGGACATACTCTTATAAAATCCTCCTTCGAAGCTGCTCCTTACTTCTTTGTGACAATTTCATCGGCCTTGACACTTACTCTTCGCCAATTTTCTCAAGATCTTTCTCCAAGACTGGGGTTGGTTTCCCTCTTAGTAGGTTATTTGGGGTAAGCACCGGTTGCTGAAACTCATTTCCCTGATAACGAAGTGGTCGATTGTTCATACAGCTCTCTTTGTCAATCAAGATATTTTTCAGCTCTCGATAGGTCAGAAGGCCTCGGCCGACCGCCTCTTCACGATACCAATGAGGCACTCGAAGAAACCTTCCCACCACGGAGCTCGGGCTAGGTTAAACTTCCCCATTGTATTCAGAGCTCCAACGTAACTTGCAAGATTGTGATCCTTCTTGAGGGTAGACAACCACTTCCCTGTAGCCACGAATGTTTTCCCATTGTCGCGTACAAGGATCTGAGGGCATCCTCACCTGGCAATAAACTCCTTTAGCGCTCTTTGAAATTCAGCAGACGAGAGAGGTTCAACAACAGCTTCAGGTGTACTGCGGGTGCTGGTACAGGTAAATAATGCAATATACCCTTTGGCAGTATCAGCCTTCTTCATCCTGGAGTAAACTGGACCAACAAAGTACACTCCTGTCACCGCGAAAGGGTCGGACACTTCAACCCTTAAGGTTAGCAGGGCTACAGTTGTCTCATGCGAGGCAGACTGATAGGTTTTTCCAGGTAGCGCTTGCAAACATTAGAGTTCTGAATCACCTTCTTCGTCAGTGACCTAAGTTTGGGATCTCAGAACCTCTCTCGTATGCGGCACATGGTTACTGAAACTCCCCCATGTAACAATCGCCACTTTACAAGGGGACCCTTTGCCATGTTATTTGTATGTGTAATCAAATGGTGACGAGTGAAATTACGGAATAATTTCACGGGCGTTTTTTCCAAATTCTAATTGGACAAAACGCAAGTGAGATTATTCCCTAATTTCGCGAGTTTACCATTTGATTACCTATTAATATTTTGGGTGACAAATTACGTTCAGAAGAAGCGGTTTTCTTCAAATTGTTTATTGTATTGAAAAAGTCCAAGGATTCCAAGCTTAAAAAAGGTTAACTAAGCGTACCGTACGGAAAGTTTTAATTTTCTGAGTGTACAGACAACTTGGAAAAGCCCTTTAAACTGTTCTTGTTTTTCATTTTTGTTTTTCATCACATGTTTCAAAGTGAAATTAACTGACGTCTCTCTTCTTTGTTCATGATTGGCCAAAATTCATGAATGAACTAGAAAACGCCGCCCGGGTCAAATGATCCGCTAAAGCTATAAATGCCAGTTAATGTCAGTGTTTGAAAATGTTTTCAGACTGTTGATAATAGACAGCAAACAGGCCAAGATTTAATATACGCAAAAGAGCGTTAAGTCACTCGAATAGCTGGAAATCAATGTGGACAAAATTATTTAAGCTTACGGCTCGGTGTTAGAAGTTGGCATTGAAGACGACGGGTGAGCCTGTCTTTGGTTTATCACCACATTACAATTGTGGAAGTTATATACATGGCCACTACTAACCGCTGCACTTGACTGAATAAGCGGCTGAAGAGGAACTCGGCTGGTTGTCTGGTTGAACTGGATTTCTTTGCCATCAATGATATTAGATAGTTGACGCTGCTCTCCTTCGTTTCCGGAGTCATATGCTTCTACGCTCCGTTCTTGTCGATGGCCAGTTATTGTGAGCTATTGTGATTATTTCAGATTTTGGGACTCCACTGGCTTTTAGCTTCCTCACCACAGTTTTCCGGACCGAGTGGTTAGACAATCGTTTGTCTGGACACATCTCCTGTAAGGGTGAGTTTTCTTTCATAATTGCCATGATTCTACTGATAGCATTTTTACCCATTCGGCTTTTCTTGTACCAGACATCTGTTTTGGTGGGGTTGTCAATGCACGCCAAGTAAAAAGGGCCAGATAACTTTAAATCTTCAGGCCTCTTGGCCAGTTAACTCTTAAAAAGTGCGACAGGGCATCGTGAGTCGCAAGTTGCGAACATTTTAGGTAGTACAGACCTTGGTTGAAGTCGTTATCCTCCTTGCCGTGTTTTTGTGGGGCCTTCTGCGAATGTTATGAACTCGTTGCCGTTGTCGTCTTTATTAAGCGTGAAATCCTCCACATTCATTGTGTAGTGTTCTTGGCAGCCACGTAAACCAAGATGCTGTGACAGGAGCCACCACATTGTGTAAAGGAGGGACGTGGAAGATGAATTTCCAAGCTGTCCACATTCCCACGGCACTTCTTCTTCCTCTCTTGTTAGGCTTCGTGACTTATTTGGCAATTTTCCTTTACCTTCGTTTCGCAGCTTACGCGCATTTCCCTCTAGCACTTTTCGAGAACTCAAAAATTCTCTGTCCTTTATAATTGACAAAGAATGGCCTTTCTCTTTCAGGTGGCGGTCAAGTGCTGCATGCATTACTTTTAAGGAGCCAGGTTCGTAGTCGGTTTCGTCTTGTTTACGGACAGAGGCATAAAACCGCTCAAGAACTTTATCCAGCTGTTCAAGAGGAAGCTTCTCAGGGCTTTTGTCGGAGCATTTTTATCACACCAGTTCTCAAAAACTCTCAACCAGTTAACTGTGCTTTTACGGGTGTTCAAGTTTTCGGGAGCGTCTTTTTATGCCGCAACATCAGAATCTGTAACATCTTCAAACCCTGACGCCATTTTGGCTGCGTCCGAACGGTTGCCATGGCAATTTTGTAATTTCACATGTGAAATTATAAATTAACGCTGAAATTTCGCGCCAAAATTAAGGAGTAATTTGTCACCCATGATATTAGACTTGTAGTTAAAGCTTGGACGAGTTTTCATCAAATTCACCATTTTCGCCAAATTCTTGATTTTCGTCAAAATCCCCACTTTCAAAGGGGACCCTTTGCCATCTCATTTGGAGATCTACTAAGACTTCGACGATTTTTACTATTTTCGCATTTCCGCCAAAAAGATAACTGATGGTCATTTTATTTAACTTGTTCCGACGGTTTTGGTAAATTTTCGCCAAATTCATCGTTTTCGCCACGTTCCGAAAGGGCTCCTATACCATCTCATTTGAATTTCTGCTAAACTTGGCGAATGGTCGCCTTATTCACCATATTCGCCACTCTCAAAGAGAACCCTTGCTACTTCATAAGAATATTCGCCCAACATTGGTGAATTTTCGCCAATGTGTGCCATTTCTGGACATATCTCCCACCCTCCCGTAAGTATGGGATGATGTAAAGTTCCCTTACTACAGTCTCATTAGCTCTCCTTATATCTACGCAGTCTAATACCCCGAAACTTTTGGAATTACTACGACCGAGCATAAAAAAGGTCTAAGGCTTTAAACTCATGGTTCAATAATGTCACATTCTACAAGTTCCTCAAGATTTCATTTGACTTTTTCCCCTAATAGCCCATAAGGTGGGGTCTAAGGTTCTGTACAGAAGGCTAAACAGTCAATTTCATCAATGTGAAGTTTTGCTTGAAAACCTTCACTTTTCCTACTCCATTATAACACTCTGGGCTCTTTTTTAAGCATAGCCAGCTGTTCTAAGGTCTCACTGTTACGTATTGCCCGCGCTTCCTCTTCTACGACAAAAAGAAACACATGGCAACCTTTATCTTTGTAACAAAGTTCAGATTTAAACTCACCAGCAGTAGTGAGATGCTCATTGGATCAACAAGAGTACAACTTCCTGTTAGAAATTCTTGATATGCATCTCACTTTTATCTCCTTGAGCATTTCCTATGTTTCTCTATCGATAATATTGCAAGTAGAACCAGAATGTCAACAACACCTTCAAGTCGAACTGTGAAGCTCTAAGTCATGGAGGGGATATCTCTTCCACTGGTTTGGAGGGTGAAGGGGAAATCGTCATCTTCGTTTATTCCCTCTCTTGGGTCTATTGACATCCTCTTCTTTCGTTTTAAAAGGTTTGGAAAATATGCATTTCATGCAAATACCGTATTTATTCGATTAACCGCCCTGGGCGCTTATTAAATTTTTGGACCTTGAGAATGGGCGCTTATTCGAGGTGGGCGCTTATTAAATTTTCACCATTCTCAGCAAGTGTAGTAGTATATTTTGCAACAAAACAGTAAATGCTAATAACAAAAAGCGAAGATGTAACAAAGCAAGGTTTGTGTACAATACTACCCTGAAGAAAACTCCGTCTTCGGGAGGATCTCTTATTATATCTTATTGGAGCTTTTTTGGGAGGGAGTGGGTTGGGGTGGGCGCTTATTCGAGGCTGATGGCTTATTAACTTTATCTGCCTTTAAGATGGACGCTTATTCGAGGTGGGCGCTAATTCGAGGTGGGCGCTAATTCGAGGTTGGGCGCTTATTCGAATAAATACGGTAACAAGACTTGCCTTGTTCTCTGGATCTTTTGCAAAATGGCTTTTGAGTCTACAACAAAAACAACTTCCACCTCCACTTTTAAACGAAAAAAAAGCTTCCCGCTCCGAGGAATTGATGTTTCCGCTTCGTGAATTAGTTTTAATTGACTACGCCCGCGACTTTCGGCACATTTCATGGACCAAGCAATATCCCGGAGCGGCCTTCGGAAGTGTGATGAGCTTCCTGCAAAGATCATGTTCTTCGATTTGTGGATGTCGCAGTTCTCGGCAAGCTGGAATAGTCTGGTCACAAACAGATCTGCCGTGTCGGACTCCTCCTGTCTTGCTTGTAGGAACTATTGCCTTTCAAATATGACGTTTACTTGAGGGGAAAATGTGCATCCAGTAATTTCAATGCTTTCGCATTCTGTGTTTCTTCTTCTTGTGCAGGTCCAGGGTCGCTCAGCGTAACAAAAATGTCCTGTACATCTTGTCTAGCGCAATATAAGAGTAAGGCTTATTTTTGTGCATCTTTTTTGATACCCTTGGCCTCGAGAAAACTCTTATAACAACGTGTTCATCGTCACCAACTTCGCCCCGCGGTAGTCGGTCTGCCTACAGTGGAACGCGTTCATGTTTCCAAGTTAAGTGTTTACAATTATCTTTTCTCCGAATATGTTCTAGTTTCCTTGTCTATTGCAGAGTTTCAAATATTGAAATTTAAGTCAGAACTGATTGAACTAGATTACGACCACATAACACCAAAACTACACAACCCTTCTCTTAGACCTCCTTGAGTTACCTCATAACAATCTGTATATCCTGGCAGACAACACTACATATGTGAAATCTAAAAACCATGCACTAGTAAATGGAATGACGAGGTGTATGCTGTCAATTATGGGGACACAAGAAGGCTTGGTACGAACCCGAGGCCATAAGAGATCGATAAGGGGCGCTACACACAGAACAAGTACTACAGTAGTTGCCTGTACGTTCTCACAAAATGCTAGCAAGACCTAGGAGAGGATGCCACATGACTGGAAAAAAGCCGGATTGTTAAAAATCTTAGGGAAGAGGAATGCGGCAATGCGTGAATTGTAGAGAGGTATCACTGATTTGCGTAAGATGGTAAAAAAGATCATAGTTACTTTTATCGTTTTCAGAAGGCAGAGGACGCTAAACAGAATCAGCATTCAAGCTTTAGAAAGGCTTGCTCTTGCATCGACAAAATGGCCACCTTACGTAAAGTAACCTACCAGCCCATTGAATGGAATACCTACTTCTACGTTAATTTTAATGCCTTAAAAGAAGCTTTTGACGACGAAGACAGAAACACCATATATAGACTCGCATAGAGCGAGCATTATAGTATACTAGCAAAATGCTGGTTGACAATCTCTGAAACTTGTCTTCTTGCTATCTCCCCCCCCCCCCCCCCCCCCCCCTACTACTTTAAGCTTTGAATAGAACAATTTCATTCACGAAATAATTTATTCTTGTGTGTTAGATCAGAGATACTGATCCCTCTGCACTTTTGCAAATGCGAACGGTGCATCGATATATTGTTTTGTCATGAAATTGGAAGGGATGTTGAAATAATTCCAACTTAACTTGAATAAGAATTCGAATAGTGTGCTCTTCGTTTTCCCCTTGCCACGGCAGCATTACCTCAACGAAACAATATTCATTTATATAATTGCACCACCGGAATTTTTCAGCTAATGAAGATGTTTATAACGGGAAAACGGGAAGCCCTAAACACATAAAAGCGGAGATAAAGGGGAACGTGTGGTCATCTCCGCAGAGGTTAATGTAAACGTCTTATTTACTTCTGGGATTTAAAATAACTCTAAGTTACTTTTGAAATTGGGTTCGTGGAACGGATATAATTTCCACTACTTTATTTTGGTTTTGAAGACATGATTTAAACACTTATATTATACTAAGAAAAAAAAAGGGGCATTAAGCAAAAATCGCGTAATTCAAGAAGGTAAGTCAATTAGAGCCTTAAAAGCAATAATAAATGATATATCCAACGCACAATTATCTCAGGGGTGTCAGAATTGATATGATCGGGACTATCAAAGACTTTAGAAGCAAAATTACGAGAAAAATGAGTTATGGCGTCTCCGAATGTAATTACATGAACTGTTTGTCCAACCACCTTCTGAACATGCTATTTCTACAATCGAAAAAAGAGCTACTGCATCAAATAACAAAGTTACCCTTCCGAAGCAAGAATAAAGACGAAATGTATTATGTGATACAGCTTTCAATTCTAGCCCTACAATTTTTGTTTTATTTTTACTGTCGGCGAAATGCTGTTAAAAACTATCACGTTCCACCCTCTTCTACCCCTTCTTCGTTGGGTTAAAGGCATACCCACATGGAAAACAGTGATTGAAAGTATGCAAACTTTAGGAATGGACAATCTTCGAGTGGCATATACCCGATTTCTCGCTTTCTATTCTGACAATCCTTCTGGACTTAGCGATGGCGAATCGCCGGCGAAATGGCCAAGTAAGGCAACTTTCGCCACTCACCCCTTGACCGAAACTGAATGGCCGCCAAAACGTTTAACACGATTCAGTAGCTAAAGGATGGAACTACACAATGATATGTAGGAGAGTCTGTAAGTGTGGGCCACTCTTGAGATTTAATCCACTGAATTTGGCTAAAATGGCATGTTTCGCTAAATGGGTCAAAGGGGCTAAGTGTGTTCTATTACCAGGTTGAATGCCATTGGCCAAAATTGGCCCAAATGAGGCAAAATATTTTTTGAAGGCATGAGCTATACCTATGGCATCAGTTAAGGTGTTACCATCAACTGTTAATCTATTTGGGAAAGACAATTTACTACGCTAAGAGCTAATAAGCTTCTTAAGACCCTTCCATGTGGCTTTTGCGAGGGTTACTCCTCTATCTAAGCATGGCGAAAGACGCGATATAGAAAATTATCGTCCAATTTCAGTTATCTCTATAATTGGAAATTGAAGTATTTGAAAGAATTATCTATAATCAACTCTTTGCCTATTTATCGGATCATAGTATTTTGTTAAAGTACCGATCTGGGTTCCGCACGCTTCATTCA